TTTTTTTTTTTTTTTTTTTTTTTTTTTTTTTTTTTTTTTTTTTTTTTATTTTTTATTAGCTTTTAGTATGTAACTATAATAGCTCAACAATTATTAAGTAAAACAAGTAATAGCTATGACAAAAATATAGTAAAACACAAAATAAGGTAGTTAAAAGAAAGAAGTAACAAATTATAATATCTAATTAAATAATAATGTGCGTAGATACCACCTTAAATTACAAAGCCAGCTTCCAATAAAAAATGTATTATTTTTTTTATAACTGTTTCGACTTGGGTGTTGAGTATAGAAGGGAGAGTGGGAGGAATGTTTAAGAACTTAATATAATTAATCAAGGATGTGCGCTTAGAATACAATGATGGACAGTCAAATAGTAAATGAGAGATGTCACAGATGCTTTCGGTTATGTGTAGTGTACAGAGGGGAGAGTCATTTAGGCCAAGTTTGTATGCATGATCTGGAAGAAGTGAGTGACCCACGCGGAGTCGGTTAAAACGAACAATGATAGACCTTGGTAGGTCTAAGTTGTAGAACCAAGTTTTTTTATTAATGATACTGGGGACAATTGATTTATACCTAGAAGCAAAGTGAGCAGGCAGGTTATTCCAGTGATTGGACCAGAGGCTGATAATATGACGACGCAATAAAGGGGAAAAATCGGTCCAAGGCAATTGCGCAAGAGGAGGAAGGATAGTATAGGATGCAGCTTTGGCGAGCCCGTCAGCCGTTTCGTTCCCATGTATGCCGATGTGGCTAGGGATCCATAAAAATTGAATATGATGATTGGACTGCTCGAGAGTGTATATATATGATTTAATTAGAAAAACAAGAGGGGATAATTTAGAATTAAATGGATTAGATGTAAGAGATTGTAAGCAGGACATGGAATCAGAAGCAATTAAGTATCTATTAGGGGCTAAATCAGAAATAAAAAGAAGAGCTTCGAAAATAGCGTAACATTCAGCAGTGAAGGAAGAGGACGAAGGAGGGAGATTGTTAGAGAAAGATATATGAAGTTCGGGAATATAGAAGGCATAGCCGGCTGATAAAGGAGACACTGAACCATCGGTGTATATGATAGTGAAGTTGGGGTAATTAAGATTGAGGAAATTGGAAAAAAGTTTATTAACAAAAGAAGAAGACATAGATTTAAGTTCAACGTGTGAAAAATTAGAAAAATTGTCAATTTGGACTAAAGGGGTATAAAGGAGAGAGTCAAAAGGTTGCTCATAGAGTGGAAGTTTATAAGAATTTAAGACAAATTGGTGAAAATTGGAGAGAGAGTTTGCAGCAATTGATAGGACCGGCATTGACTTGGGTGTGTAACGCCAAGTGATATATAGAGAATAGAAGGTATCGAATATAATGTGGTTGGAATGCGCTAAAGATTTTAAAATGAATTTTCCTGCGAGCCATCGGCATCTAATATTAAAAGGAGGACAGAAGGTTTCAACTTCCATCGCCGGACCAGGGGTAGACCTGATATATCCCATTATAGTTCTAAGACAAGACGATTGGAGCATATTAATTTTTTTCCAGTTGGAGTAGGCGGCCGAACCGAAAAGAAAGCAACCATAGTCCAATTTAGAACGTATGATAGAGCGATAGATGGATAGCAAGCTAGAAGGATGGGATCCCCACCAAGTATTAGATACAGTCCTGAGGAAGTTTGACCAACGGGATGTGAAGAGAGAAAGTGAAGATATGTGAGGTATCCAACGCAGTTTAGTATCAAGGGTAATGCCTAAATAGGTTACGGTTGTAGCAAAAGGAATGAGGTAATTGTCTAGGTATATGTTATGTGGATCAAAATATTTGCGCCGAGTAAAAATAACCGATTTACATTTCTCAGGAGCGATTTCCAGAGATACATTAGATAAAATGGTTATTAGATCTTGAAGAGCAGCATTTAAACGTTCTATGGCGAGAGGTAGAGATTTATTTGAAGAAAAGATGACCATATCATCCGCGTAGATAAGGCAGTTGTGGCCAGACCTTGAGAAATTTTTTGCAACGAGGCTCATGTATATATTAAATAGAAGGGGACTGAGGCAACTTCCTTGTGGGAGACCTGTGAATGTAGAACGAGAACTAGAAGAACCAAATGAAGAAGAGAAAACGAGATTCCTTTTATTGAAAAGGGAGAGTAATATATTGCCGAATTCCGGAGGGGCATTTAAAGAGATAATATAATCAACAAGAATATGTATATTAACAGAGTCAAACGCACCCCGTATGTCTATGAAAGTGGCAACAAAATATTCTTTATTATTGAAGGAATGATAGATGTTACCAATGAAAGTTGAGAGACATTCTATGGTACCCATGCCTTTCCTAAACGCGAAAAGATTAGGGGGCAGTATGGAATTTGATTCGAGCCACCAGTCAAGTCTTGTTTTGAGCATATGCTCAAAAACTTTACATAGTGAGGAGGATAGTGCAATAGGACGGAAAGATGTATTAGAATTCGATTTAGGTATCGGAATGACTCTGTAGAAACTCCATGAAGTAGGGAACAGCTGAGTGACTAGCAAATTATTGAAAATATCAAGAAGAGAGGCTAACGCAATATCAGGAAGTTGTTTTAACAGTGCGGGCGAAATGTTGTCGAGTCCCGGGGCAATGGATTTCCGTGAAAATATAGCAAACTTTAATTCGGAGATTGTAAATTTGTTAGAAAGAACGTGAGGATGTGACGTAAGGGGGTAGTAAGGAGGACTAGCTTCTAATTCGGAGGGGGCGTAGCTCGGAGCAATTTTAGCGCAAAATGCGTCAAACCAATCATCGTTATCAGGGCGTATGGTGGGAATAACACAATTTTTAAATCTTCTAGCTGTGGCCCAAAGATATTGAATTGAACAGGAGGGGTTTAAATTGGAACAAAACTTTTTCCAGCTATTTCTTTTTTCATTTTTAAGAAGACGAGTGGTGTGTGCACAGACGTTGCGGTATTTGAGAAGATCAGATAAACTGCCAGAGCGACGAAAAATTTTAAAGTGTAAGGATCTAGTTTTGACGGCCTCCGAACAAGACGGGTTCCACCACAAGGGAGAGGATGTATGCGATTTAGGATTGGTTTTTTTAACTGGTATAGCCAAATTTGCGGCGTTTAATATAATTTCTGTAAAGTTGGAGTAAGACTTAATTAAGGCAGAGTCCTCGGCAGCCGAGGAGATCGCGTCATGGATATTGAGTCTAAAAGAAGTCCAATTAGCCTTGTTGAAGTTATAGGGTGTGTGCCTAATGAGAATGTTATTGGGTTGATGATGAGATCGGGTAAAATTTGAGAGACTCCTGTTAGTAGCTGAAATTATAATAGGTATGTGGTCACTACCATGAGGCTCACCCAGAGTGTGCCAGGATAGGTTCCAATAAAGGTTTGGGGAACAAAAAGATAGATCTATAGCAGAGTCCGTAGAATTAAGCCGTCCTATGTGGGTAGGACTGCCATCATTGAGTATACAAAGGCCGAGAGAATCTATAGTATTGTAAATAATGTTTCCACGGGGAGACGAAGAATCGGAGCCCCAGGCCGGATGAAAGGAGTTAAAATCGCCACAGAGAATAGAATTACAGGAAATCAGGCTAAACAGAGATTGCAAAACGATAGCAGGAACGTTGGAACTACTAGGGATGTAGCAGGACCATATCTCTAGGGGAGGAGATGATTCTGATACAATCTCAACGCCTATAATATCCAATTTGTAATTATTGAGATTGTTCCTAATATTATTATCTATAAGAATTGGTCTAGATTTAAGAGAATGATGAATTGCTACAGCCACACCACCAAACCCATCAGGTCGATCAGATCTGTAGATTCTAAAAAAAAGGTATATTAATAGAACGGGAGGGATTGAGCCAGGTTTCGGAAAGTATAGCAATAGAGCACCTATGTGCATGAAGGAGGTGCATAAGAGACGGGAGACGTGCTGAAAGACTTCTAACATTCCACTGTAAGATAATCAAGTTGTTGCTAAAAAAGTTATTATTCATGTTGAGAGACATATGAGTTGCATATAGATATTTGTGAGTCTAGAGTAATAATATGTTAGAGTAATTAAATATCCTAGGTACTTGCGTTTAGGATAAATGTTTAACATTAGGTATAGCTAGTAAGGAAGTTAGAGAAGACTCAATTAGTGATTGAAGGGAAGAGGAGGAGAAAGGAGAGGATAAGGAGGGGGAGTTGATTAAAGTTTCGGATAATTTTATGGATAATGTATGTACCCAAGAAAGATCGTTTAGATTATTCACTATCGGGTTGTGTTGGTTAGAGATATTATTTAAATAACTGCCATTAGGAGGAGAATAAGATGAAACAACGGGTAGGACAACTCTATTATTATTTGACATATTAAGAGGTTTTCTTTTGTTTTTTTTAGAATTAAAAAAAATGATGACTTTCATTTAAAATAGGAAAGTTCTCCTCATTAAGAGGGATATCAGTATTTAAATTATTAGAATTTGGAAGTTGGCTATTTACAATATCAGAGTATTTAAAAGCAGACGTACAATATTTATTTTTCTTAAAATCTAAGGCGTCTCTGTAAGAGAGATTCTCTGTAGCCATGATTCTCTTGATGTCCTTTTGAACAGACCATTCCTGGCAACTACGATCAGTGGCAGCATGAGGAAGTTTGCAGAAGAGGCATAAGGGGTCCGTGGTGTGGACGGTCGGGCATTCTGTGATAGAATGTTTGGAGCCACCACAGTGACCGCATCTTGGATCACTGCGACAGAATTTTTGCGTGTGTCCGTAACGTAGACAACGGTTACATTGTACCGGAGAACGGATGCTGGGGTTTACATCAAAAATCATATTGTAGATCGAAATGTGTTGAGGTAGTTTAGGAGACAAAAATTTAAGTTCAACGATGCGTGTAGCTACGATATTGCCATCTTTTTTAATAGATATGCGTTTGAAGCTTACAATTGGAGAACTTGATTGAACTCCATCCCGAAAATCGTCCTCGGAGACGTCTGGATCTAGTTTTATTATACCAAAAGAGTAGATAAGGTTCGATGGGATATTCGCTGTAAAACCATGTTCGTTTAAAGTCTCGGAGTTCAAACAGAGATTTCCGTTCGAAATCGAATCAAAGCTAATTTTGATTTTTTTAGAGCCAGCGGGCTTGATATTGGTTATGCCGGTGAAATTAGTAGAAAAAAAATTTTGCTGCCTTTATTGGGTGCCAATTCCCCAAGTTTTTATTTAAATCAATGCATTCAACTAGTATCATGACGGGGCCAATATAATCGGATGGGAAGGTCTGTTGTGAGCATTGAGACAACATATTTATATCATTGGAAATAACAGTGGAGTGTATAGAAGTGGTTGCAGGTATAGAGTTTATTTCAGGTACTAAAATCGATGTAGGGTCATTAGCATTATCAATAGATAAACCGTCATTAGTGACCGGGTCTATCGACAGATTGTTGTCAATAGGTGCGGAGTCCATATAATTGAAGGTCGAAGGCGACGTATTTAGAACCGGAGTGTTTTCCATAATATGTTGAAGTCCGGGAGACGTGGGTGTAAGTACATTAGAATTCGACTTACGTGCATTTTTTTTTGATACGACGAGAGTGTAGTTGGAATCCAAGGAACGATTGGTAGACAGCGTAGGTTTTATTTTGTTCGGGGCGGGTGATTTGCTCACACGAGAGTCGCCGCCCGAAGACGACGACATAATTAGTAATAAGCCGCGCTAACGATGTATACAAAACAATAACGGTAACTGCGATAAGAGTAAGCGGAAAGCACAACCGAACACTATGACTGCAGAAACGCGACTGGGGTACTTAACTTAATCTAATCTAACCAAGCGTTTCAAAAATGGCACTTTGTAGTTTTTATTTCGACTCTGCACTACTGATTTTTTTTTTGTGTCTTCAATTTATGCAGTAAAAATATATCAGAATACATAATAGTGATGTTATACAAATTTTTAAATAAAAAAAAAAATTACATAAATTAATAATTATAAATAAATTCCAACGATTTATTTATCTTCTTTAAGCAATATTTGTGTTGGAGATAGAAATTTATAATACATATCATTACACAAAGATAATTATAAAATTGTTTATTACATGCAGAAATTACGGTTGCATCACAGTTAGGTTCGAATCCATTTGTAATTTTGTATTCTAATTTCTTTTCGTATAATCTATATATATGTTTCATTTTCATATAAAAGTCTAATTTTTAAGTATAAATCGCTATTGTGCCTTCAGTGATAATTTCTTTTTATTATAATTTATAACATATAAGTACTATGCTGGTACATTATAACTAAAAAAAATTAGTCACGTATTATAAAAGTATAAAAATCCTGAATATTGACGAATAAGTCGTTAATATATCTATCGATATTTGTGTATTAAACTATTATTATTAATAAGTAATATTGTCTATAATTTTATTGCTATTAAATTAAAATGTTTAATCATAAAATTATAAAAACGTATACTTTTATCTTACCACTAAATAATTATTCAGCATTTCTTGTCGCAACTTGAATCGACCATATTGAAAGGGATTTTGCACTCTCCGAATACTTTTAATGTTTAATGACGTTATATTAAACATTGCTTTTACTTTTCTTGACTCCGTACTATAGTCTTGTACATCAAATAAAATAAAACTTTTATTATAGGTGCTTACTGGCTCCCAATCGTTGGGTACGTTTTCCAGCACAAATGATAGCATTGAAGTCATGATTATATGTATCTGAAAATGGATGATTAATTAATTTAACTGTACGTCTATATTATGTTCAACTTTACGTCTGTACATAATTATTAATTAGTACATATTTTTGAGAGCTACTGAAACGAGTATGATTATTTTTACATTTGAATGATAATTCTGAGTGGTACCAACTTATCTACCAAACATAATTTTCAATATTTTGATTAATTTTTTAAAGCCGTTTGATAATATCAGTATTTATAATATTAGTTGATTTTTTCACGATTTCTCGTAAACAGTCAGGTAAGTATTGATGAACTAAAATAATGATCTAACTAAAGTTTAACTTTTTGAACAATATGTCCATCTTTATTAACTGATAAAATATAAAAATCCTAATAATTAAAACTTCTTTAAAAAAAAAATATATGTGGCTTATCAATATTAACGATATTTTATCCTTAATTTAATACACCTAATGTTATTTATAATTTATTTTTAATAATAAAACTACGATTATGAATATTATGATATAAAATTATTAGTTTGAGGTTATATCATGTTTTTAGTCGTCTGTCATATTATTATCATTTATCAATGTATTATTCATTCCATATTGGATATAATTGCATGCGTTGATATAAATTTAAATTACAAATAAAAGATAAAAAGTACATTATTTTTAAGCAATCAAATGTCAAATTATATTGTAGTCACGTAATTAATAAATTATCATGATATATGTAATAATATTATTTATCATGCTATTGGTAATAATTAAAACTGAACTTTAATAATGTGTGATACTTTTAATGTCTGTCTCTGTCTTCTGATTAAACAATACAACGTTAATATTAGTGGGTATAATATTATTTTAATATGCTGATAATATTATTAATTGTATTAACTATTAAGTAAATAAATAATACATTTATAAATTCATGGATGATGGCTAACGGACATCAAATAATATCATTAAATAATCATTTAATTTGGTATATTTTTATTCGTTTAATTTGAAATATAAGCCATAACAATAGCATGATGTAAACATTTTCTACTACTTTTAATCAATATTTTCGTCTGAAATATCGTTTAAAAAATAATATTTATAAAAGAATCTAATTTGTGCGAAATTTTTAAATCGAACGATCAAAAACCCGAAGCCATGAGATTTCATTCTCTTATGAAATAGGTAAAATTGGCATTTTATATATCACTGATCCATATTTAAGATAATAATACATGATATACTTTGTTCCTATTACTTATAGGTATGCATATGCATTTTTTTTTAAAGTTTGAGATCGTGAGGGTTATTAAATTTGTTATTAATAGTTTTATTATTTACATGTTATTTTATGTGTAGTCGGTTAATGTTGTCATGATATGAAATTGTTATTGATGAGTGGTTAAACCATAAAAATATTTATAATATCTTAATATGCCAATTATATAACATTATTGAAGTTATATTTATAGATACAAATTGGTATTGATTTAAATAAAAATTAAAAATAATACACGTAAATTTTCGAGAATTATTCGTTTTTATAACTACAGGATGTAGACGATGTAGTTGTTAAGTAGTTGTTCATTATTAATTATTAAATATAATATATTAAATAATAAATATGTTTACTACTCCTTAATATATACATTTTTTTTTTTTCATAAAAAACTTATCTTGCTAGTCACGGGTAAATCCAAGTTTCTGTTTTGTAGATCGTGCTCAGAATTTTTTGTTATAAATAGATACTTTATACTTTATAGACTATAGTATAAGAATTAAACATCAAAATAAGTAATATTATTTAATAAAACATTTCACTAGCCATTATTAACCACCTAACTACAAGGCGAAGTATGTTGTTAAATATTTTCAATTAATTGGTACATTATGGTAATACACGAAAAACCGCGACAGTGTTTTTATACTCTTCACCGTTGTTGTTGGAAATTGTCAAACGAGAAAATGTATCAGTGTCTTAACTCTTAAGTAAACGGTAAAAAAGTTCAGTAAAATATAATATGAAAATTATCCAAAAAAATATTGATTTAGAAAATTAAGGAAAAAAACAAATTATGAATATATACAATTTAATTAAAGTAGGTGTATCCATATAATATACATAAGTAACTAAAAAGTACTTTAAAATTACGCCATAAGTGAACGTATGCCACTATAATGTGATGTTAGATTAAAACAAATATATTATATCAATAGATATAGACTATATCTATTGGATTTATCTTATTTATTATCATATTGTTGTTATTATATAGCTATGGGATAGTTTTCAAGTTATCATTGTTATATAGGTATTATTATGTTGGCATAATAATTCCTATCCGGTCATTTATTAAAACAAAATGTTTTTTTCAGGTTCAGATTTTTCTCAATTTATATTTATTATTATATAGTTTATATACCGATAAAGCCTTTCTGTATTTTCTATTTAATTGTTTAATAATTAAATAAAAACCAAAAATAAACAATACCCAATACCTATCTATATAAAATATTAAAGTATTTAATTAATTTAATTGTATTTACATATTTGTCGTTATAATCGTGATTACAACAATGAATAACATATAATGTATAATTGTGTGAATAAAAACAATAAAAAACTTACCAAGTCCGACTACTTTATTTAAGTTGTGTATATAATATTTACGTATATTATATTCTTATTGTATATTTTGTATGTAATATTTCTTACCACAAAGGAGTTACAATTGTATATTATTTGAATAAAAAATTTTAAAATTTTGTATGAAATGACACTTTGTGCATGAGTACTGGACGTTAGTTGATTTACTGAATACTGATCCACGGACACTGTTATTCTTAATCCGTGTACCCACCACCTACTCGTTTTATATTATATAGTAATTACTAATCAGTATTTACTTTAGCAACACTAAAAATTACTATTCTATGTTATCATTAATTGAATTACCTACTTATAATATTGTATTTATTATGTGTTCGATAGTTTTAAGAGAACTGTAATTTATTTAGCTCAAGTACTCGTATTTCAATCAGAAAGTGATATAATAGACAGGTGGCAAGTACAGTGTTTAATTGACAACAATGTCGAAGAGATACTGATAAAAATATTAATATTAAAGCGGATATCCATAGCCGTAAAAGCAAAAAATGACACACACACGCACACATTATAGTAAAATCAATACATTTATCAGTCTGCTCATAATCTAAAATAAGTTTATTTTATGAATTATGGTCTTAGGTGAAATAAATATTGAGCCACCACTATAATATTTTATTAGAAAGATGTGTTGAAAATGGGTACCTGCAAGAATTTTGTATTCGGGGGAAAAAAATTCTTAAATATGGCCTTGATCGTAGTTCTGTGTTTATATTATTGAAGCAATATATAGTTTTATAATATTTTTTTAAATTTTATAATACACGACAATCGACTAAATTGGGAATACTTATAAAATTATTATTGTTATTGATAATATATATATTTCTTGTCTTTATTTGTACAGTACGATTTTACTTCATAGCAAATACAATCTTAAATTCTTAAATATAGAATAACTAAATGCGTTAAGCAATTAAAAAAAAATAAAATAAAAAAAAATACATTATATGATATAAATTATAAATATAAATCGAAATTCAACAAATATATTAGGTATGTATAAAAAAATAATTCCATTTGTCAAAAAATAATATATTTATACTCTATCAAAATTGAAATTGAAATTTTTATTAAATCATATTTTTTATATTAAATACTTATAATTATATCTTATATATTAAATAGATACAAAAACTTTTTGGAATGATACTAAATTTGTCTTAAATAGTGTGTTTCAGTCTATTAAATAGTGAAAAAAAAAATAGAAAAAAATACCTATCTTTATACTATATTGAATCAAACATCGACATGGTTAAAATTATTGTCATGTTCTTACATACGAATACATTGTAAATCAAACAGTCTTGTGATTCGATACCTATTATATAAAAATATAATAAAGTGTTAAAATAAAAATAAATATATATCATATATGATAATATAATATAATACAATATAATAGTATTATATGCGTTTATAGGTATGTACAATAGTCAATAGTTATCTAATTTAGTATACAACGATAATGATGGCCGTGTTAGTCTGATGTCAACGTGATTGCATAACAATTTATTATTTATAATCGAAGTCCAATTCTATGGAAATTAGTCGAGCGGTTTCAATATTAACGGGTACGTGTCGGGCGGCAGAGCAAGACGCGCCTCGGGTATTACCAATTGAGCAGAGGCCTTTACTTCGTACCTCTGCAGTACGCCGGCGAGCAGTACGAACCCAAACCCGGAAACCAATTGCTGTCCAATGCACGTTCTTTTACCGGTGCTGAACGGCAGAAAGTATTCTGGTTTCCGGATGTACGGCTTTTCGTCGGACTTGCGGTGTACAAAACGATTCGGGTCGAACACTTCCGGGTCGTCCCAGTACGTCGGGCTGGTGTTGATTTCATAATTATTAAGTATGATGCACGTGCCTTTTGGTATTTTGAAACCTAAACAAACAAAGGCGTAAAAAAATAAATAATATATAAATACAGGTAGGTACACTTATGTTGTATTAAAAAAAAAAAAAAATTACATATTGTATATATAGCCACGATCGCGTGTTGAATCAGGATATATTCTAAGACCGTTGACCGTTATTAATTTTAAGATTTCAACAACACAGGTATGTATTTTTAAATAAAAAATGTATTTGTAGCGTTTATTGAGATTGGTATTATTTTGGGCGGTGACGATATTCGCGATTTAAAATAAAATTTAGTGATTATTTTTTTTTTTTCAAATTTTCAGGTGAGCTCAATTCAAGTTTTCGACGTTCAAAATGGTATACCGTCCGGACTGTTTCGGTTGAAAAACAGTGTGCGGTTTTCGAGTTTTTCCAACAGTAGGTACACATAGGATTTCAGCAGAACCGCGAGTCTACACAGAGCGTATAGAGACTATAATATTTACAGAGAGTTCGAGAATCATTAGAAACTATTTTATCATATTGTTTTTCTCACCTTTGATCGTAGTGTCCTCGGTCGCCACGTGTGGAACGATGGGCGACGAGATGATGCGCAGCGTCTCGAACAGAGTGGCCTCGGTGTACGGCATGTCCGGCTTGTCGTAGAGGCGGACCAAACGTTGGCCGCCGGTGACCCGTTCGGCCTCTTCTCGGATCGCTCGGGCCACGTGCGGTCTGGTGGCCACCATGGACAGGGCAAGCATGACCATGTTGCCGACGGCCGAATGGCCGCCGATGAAGTCTTCGAGTTCGAACAGCACGTGGTCCATTTTGAGCCTGGGTTCCTTGGGCAGGCTCATGAGCAGAGCGTCCGTGAAGTCTGCCGGTTCTTGTTCGTCGCCGTCGTCGCCGCCGCCGGTGCCGTCCGCCTCGGCGGCCACAGCCTTCGCGTAACTGCTCCTCTTCGACACGACCGTGTCCATTATGTACCGTCTGATGTGCGCCGACCACGCGGACAGCTTTCGCATGTGGCCCGCGTAGAACGGCCTCAGCCACGGCAAGAAGTCCACCGCGTAGCCTTGGTTGATGTCCCAGAATATCTCGTCGAACGTCCGGACCATGGTCTGGAACTCGGGGTCGCCGTACTCGAACTGCGTCGAGCACATGAACCGGACGAACATGTTTGCGCAGGCCATCAGCAACGGCTGCTTCACCTGTACCGCGCGCTCGGAACCGCGCTCGGTGACCGCGGCCAACGATTCCAAAAATGTGTCCAGTTCGTCGGACGCGACGGAGTCCAGCAGAGCGTAGTTGGACGAACACACTTTCGGGGAACAGTACATTCGAGAAATCTTCCGCCTGGTCTCTTGAAGCCACGACCAATCGCACAGCGCCAGAGCTAAAAAAGAAGAGCAAAAACACATCGAGGTTAGTCATCCGATTGCCTTTTATCTAATTGTTTAAAGTAAATTTAGACTCAAATGTAGTTTTTACTTCTTAATTATTTGTCAATTGATGATTATTCGTTTATAAAGTTTTTTTTTTTTTTTTTTTAATTATAGGTTAGTGATTTCGTCTATAATATTAAACGGTCGATCTGATTCTACGCACTGCATTATTATACCAGCATGGGTAATGTGTGGTGTATATATCGGCGTATATTACTACTCGTATTATGATAACAGCTAGTGTTCTAAATAATGCTCGATTTCAACTAATAACCAAAACTACACAGTAGCTCAGTAGCATATTGTGATCCATTAGTGTTTGAATAGATTACAGCTGATGTTTTAAAATATTAATTAGAAAATCAAAGAAAATAGGATTTTTTTTATAACTCATGAGAATAATTAGGATCACTTCAAAGCGACCTTTTAAAATCTATATAATATCAAACCTAATTAATCAGTAATTATTGAGAAATTATTTTACTCAATTTGGTTAAAATTAACTAATTATTTTTAATTTTTCAAGACTAAATTCTAATAAAAAGACCATTAATTAATAATATTCATATTTATTATATGATATATTCAATTTCAATTTATTGAAGATAAATTCTAATAGACCACGAACCAAAATAGGGAGAGGGCTATGGGAACTGAACCAAACAATAAACAATAACTTTTATGCTATCGCCAAAACATTAGTGATGTCAGATGAAAATCCTTGAAACATCATTTTTGATTTTCCTGTTTAGTTAAGCAACTGTAATAATAAGAACTGAACAACCTATTGTTTTATCTTATGAGAATGTTTACGTTAGAAAAATCTCGTATAAAATATAGGTGAGAAAAAAAAAGAGTTATTTTTATTTAACTATATAATTGTAAACATAAAAATAATTTTAGTTTTTTTTTATATCTCATAAACATAATACATGTCATATTGACATTTGTTATATTTAACGACGTCAATGTATTATTTTTGCCTATGTTCAAACCTATTAATGTAATAATAGTGAATACACCACTACTATAAGACACTAAGTAGTATATTATATTATTATAAGTATTGATAGTTGGAATCTTCTCTATACCAACTAAATTTAGTGGGATACTTGTAATTTTCCCTTTGGACTAGTAATCATCCATCGAATTCCTTTAATTAAAACGTCAACATTATCTAAGTTAAAAATTTTAAAAATGTATTTATATTTATGATTAGTAATATAACTAATATGTATATATATATATATTATATATACTATTGAAATAATAATGCTTATTAGTAACTATAATTATTGATCATTAAAACTATGTTATACTTTTACTTAATTATACTACGGAACATATTATAAAAAAGTCACTTTTAATTATTATTAGTAGTGGGGATGAAATCCGAGTATTCGGATTATTCGAAAATCTGAATATTCAAAACCGGATTTGAATCAAATTCTTATCCAAATTTTCTGAATTATCTGGATTTGTAAATTTGTTTTTTTGATATAGCTAATAATTATTTTCAATTTATTGTAAAAAAAATTAAAACAATGAGTTCATGGTTTAATTTTATTAGCTACAGTATTTATCATAATTTACTTTAACAATTATATTTTATTTGTAATTAAAAAGATATCCGAATTATTCAGATAATTTGTAAAATCGGGATATCAAAAATCCGAATTTCATAAATCCGAATAATACATTCATCATTACTCTTAATTTCATATAAATTGCGCGCTTTAATAATTAACTTATATAATATCTATTAGAAATAAATCATTTTAAGATATTTAATACCTATGGACATCGTAAAAAAATATTTTAATAAATACGAAAGTAGTTTTAAAGCAAATTTTTATGTTTTAATAAAAAATATATGTTTATAATGTTCTTATAACATGTTTTACTTGAATTAAAATGTTATTTAATAATATAATTATGTATAGGCGAAGATTTTTGAGTGATTTTTAAAGAAATCATTTGGTTCCTATGTTTTTAGGCTTTTAATGTTCTTATGTGCAAATACTTTCGGGAAAAAAAATAAAAACACGCAACAAATGAAACATTGTACAATCTGTACCGTATGCACTCGTAGGTATTAGGAAATGAAACTATAATTTAGATATGTTATACATCGCAATTAGTTGCAATTATTAATTAAGTATCACTATGAATAATATTGGAAAGTATGAATTATGACAACAAAACCATAAATATTCCATGATTGTATTTGATTTGGAAAAAGATAAATGACACAGTGTACCATTATTAATGATCGTCAAATAAGAAAAAACAAGTAACTTAAGCATTTATATATATATATATATAATATCATTTAGGTACAATATTGATATTTCGTATCTATTTTTTCGTAAACTATAATACACCAGAGTGCAAAGTTCAATAACTTTATAATTGATATTCAATACAGTATATTGCCCTTTGTCTAAAATTATTTGAACTCAATTAAACCTTCCGAATAGTGTTAAATTTCATGTAAATAAAATAATAGTATGGTAAATCCTTATTTTGATACATAGCCAGTAATTTGATTAGTAATTAAATTGACATCCATACCTATATAATGAAAGTAATACACGTATTGCATATTGAGCATATTTACATCAATATAGTATCTATTTAAAAAACTCTTACAATAATGTATTTAGTTGATTCATAATTATATACTAATAACAGCAGTAAAATTTTTTAGAAAACTTTTAAATAATTATAAATATTGATGTGTTGGGATTTTTTTTTTAAGTATTATATAACCGTAAAAAACAAATATTTCATAAGTGAAAATGTTTACTTTACGCAGTGATTTTTGGAATACCTATATTACTTACATAAACAGTTTCAAAATTAAACAAAGTAAGACGAATAATAAATATGAATACGTATTCATTGAATCGATTCAAATTCGTATGAGATTTATTAATAACAATGGAACACTCTAGATTTTCTATTGCGGTAGGCGCATGAGACAAAATCTAATTAGATCACAGTTATAGGGTTTTGAAAATTTACATATTTTGTTCATTGCATGGTAAAATATTGGTGTATAATAATAATATTGTGATATGCATAATATGTTATTATTTTACGTGTACGAATACTATAATAAATCGAAAAAATTGATAAGACTAGTCTGATCAATGACGGCTTGTAATTTCTTCAAAAATAGATACCTGCTTATGCTTATAGAACGATTTTAAAAATGTACCTATAGAACATTAATAAAAAAGATTAACGATTGAAAATTTCGAATATTCAATGAAGATTTCGGGTCAAATTTGAAAATACTATCGTTCTCTTAATATCAATAAGATGAAATTTATAACCTGTATGTACATAGAGGTATTGTATACATCTTCAAATTGTTATAGCATTCATTCTTCGATATATATAAAAAAAAAATTAAAAATCATTGAAAAAGTAGCTAGATAAGAAAATATGTGTCATGATATAAAATCATCACGAGTTTATCAATTAGGGCAGAAATAAAATCTAAGTAGTTTGTTAAGTGCAAGTAATAGTATACTAGAGTTATTATTTATTATACTAATAAAGTCATAAAGATAATTCAGTTTTATTATTGTACAAAAATTGAAAAACTCAACGATGATTATTTTATATATATGTAATATACATAAATTTTCAAAAAACTATATATATTGTTATATGATATATCTGCATATATAACGATTTATATAAGTATATTAACGCATATAAAATAATTTTTACCTTAAAATGTACATTACTACAATAGTATTTACTATTTAGGTACCTATTGTAAATTGCTAGAGTGTTATCATTTAAAATGTATAAAAAAATAGCGATCGCAATATTTGAGCATTGTAATTATCAGTTATTTTTTAGATTTAGATGCATAATATTTACATCAACAAGACATTTTAAGTGACGATATTTTTATTAAATTATATTGTTTTGTTGAAATCAATAATATAATATGATATATAAGTTGATAATATTATTTAAAAATAAGTAAGTACATATATTTTGTTTTAAAAGTGTTAATTATGTGTCATTTTTAACATTATTAAAAAAATAAATAATTTGTATTAGTTATAACTTATAATAATTTCGTTTCGGGAAATTCTCGCCCATAAAATTGTTTTCGAGAATAATATGCTCATCAATACATAATGTATAATTATATTCTAGAGCACACCGCGAAAACTTGTCTAAAAAGAATGAAAATAAAATCACGAAAATAATAATAGGTCATATAAAACGTACATACTATACATACAACGTACACACTAAATGGCAGTCCGCAGACAAGAATTACGTTTTTTAAATTATTATTTTTAACGGGGAATTAAATGAGATTTTCATTGATTAACTTTCTTCGGAAAAACATAACAATCTGCATTATTGATCGGTGACTGCTGGCTATTATACGCTCGTCTGTGTAAGACGCGTGACTTCGCGCGAAAACACACGAATAAGTCAAAAACCTTTGACGACTTTACACTACCGTAACAACACTTAAATGCCCATTTAATAAGTGTATGTTTATCTTAAACCGTAGGATTTAAATAGTTGTACATAGTGCGACCGCATTCATAAAATTTAACTCCTGCGATCAAAGAAGAGAGCAGGACTTTTCACCGGTAGGTATGCAGTCGTACATGATATATTAAATGAGATAATATACTCACAGTTGTTACGGTCTCCAGCGAAGAGCACGTTGTATCGAGAAAAGTCGGGCCGTCCGCCAAACTTGGAACCGTTGGTGATGAGCACTTCCTTGATGGACGGGTAATCGTTGACGATCACGCACGGCATCGATCCCATGGTCATGGCGTAAACGGGCCCGTACCGTTGGGCCAGCTCGGTGAACCGGCGGAACGGATTGTCACTGTGCCCGTTCATGACGTGCAGCGACCCGATGACCGGGTACGCCGTCGGCCCGTCTAGCGCGACGGTGCGGGCGGCGGCTGTGGCTGTGGCCGGTCGGCGGCGCGCGGTCCAGGGCCCGCGGCCGCACGCCGATGCGGCCGCCAGCATCAGGAGCACGACGAACAGCAGCAGCGACAGCGCGACGGCGACGGCATCAGCACCGGCCACTACCCCGTTCGCGGTGTCCATAGCCACTCTGCGTCGGCCGCCTGTCCGCCGGCTGTGTACTGTGCGCGAGCGCGCCCCCAGTGACTACGCCCGGACGACGGCGGTGAACACAAACACGCGCGCGGCGCGCGCACACACCTTGGGATTCTGAGGCCACGGCCGTTCGCCCCCTCCCCAACCCGAAGACGCTGCTCAGAGTGCAGTTGAACGTATGTAATGTAATATTAAATATTATTGTGAGTACGATCGACGACACGGGGGCACGAGCGAGAGAGTGAGCGAATGAGAGGTAGAGAGAAAGAGAGAGCGTGTGAAAGGGAGAGAACGAGAGAGAAAGAGATATAGACAGAGAGAGAGACAGTGAGAGAGGAGAGACGACGGAGTCGCTGTAAAAGTGAGAAGACGGAGGATGCGGAGAAGGATTGTGCGAGACGAAAGGAAAAAGGAGAAGAAGACGCGAAGGAGAAGAGACCAAACGACGCGAGCCGTTTGCTGTATAATATTAATATTACGCGCGCGTGTGTAAAGATGATAATAATGTAATGTTTATTATTAAAATTTTCTTCGGCAGCAGGCGAGTTGGTTTCGCCGGCGGCGACGACGATCACACGAGACGATGGCGATGGCGACGACGATGACGACGACGACCACGGCGGGAACGTGTTGCGCCCGTGGACGGGTGTAGCAGGCGGCGGGGTTGCGGCGGCGGTGCAGTTGTTGGGCGACGGTGGCGATCGGCGAAGGGGATTTTTTTTTTTTTAGATTTTTTTTCTTTTTTATCCCGAAAACAAAAAAAGCGTATATGTTATGTTATATATTAATATTGTTTGTAGCGAACTCCAGCGTTTACAGACTACCAATTTTATTACGTAAAATTCGGTTTTGTTAGAGTCGCGTGCACTCGACAAATTATGAAAACGCGTTTAATACTAACAGTGCGCGTCCGTGTGTGGACCTGGCTATATATAGGTGACATCGGTCTCGGTCATATTATTGTATATACAATATATTATAGCAGCGCACTCGGTTTTCCGATCTCCCCTCCCTGCCCCCCGGCAGCGAAGCACTATTTTGCACGCATATATAGTGTAAATATCGTATACATATAACGATATACGAGTATATCCGTCGCAACATATACAGGATGATTCGTCGTTAAGTATGCTCACCCTTTTTTCCTCTTCAACAACGTAGTTATTTAAAATCTGATTTTTTACAATCTTAAAAATCACCTAAAAATCATAATTTCAAATTCTTGAAATGTTTTTTTATATACCTACTTGAGAAGTGTACTGTTTTTTTTTTTTTGACGAGAACCCCCATTTTCTACTTTAAATTATTTAGTCTATAATTTTTCTGAAAATCTTGAAGTATCGAAATCAAAATTGGAAGTACTAAGGACAAAAGTTCGGAAGATATAAGATCCATGGTGATTTGAAAATGTAAGTAATTAATATTTATAATTTATAAAAATGATCCAATAAATACGATTTAACATCTCTTTTGTATTTTTGTTAAAACATTTTTATGGACTTGTATACCTCAGTATAAACATTATAAGCATTTTAATTCAAAAGTTTGTATCTATTCTATAAGTAGATCAAAAAATCCCAAGTATTTGAAAATATAACCTTTGAGTATAACTAAATACACTAGAAATCAGAGTTTGAATAAATTCATTTTTAAATGATTAATAGGGGTTGAGCATGTTTGGTGAATCACTCTGTATACGTATTTAAGTATAGCGTTAAGTGGGAATCGGACAAAAAGAGGAAGAACGCGCGTGAAAAAAAAATCGGAAATCCAAAAGGATACATCAGCGACTGTAATAATAATTATTCGTCATTATAGGTACAACAACATTATATCTAATACCATTATAAATCGATGGCGTGCGGCGGCGTTGTATGACGTATGATATTATATCATATTAGATAATATTTTCATCGTTATAAAATATACGTATATGCACTTGGACGTCCGTTTTTCCGGCCCGCGATATTAAATGAATAAAATTATCATTTCGCATTCGGTCACGTATATCCACGCGCTTGGATTCCACGGACTCGTCGTACCCCATCAACATATACCAAGCCTATTACGTTTTTTCATCTATCCGCCGAACCGGAATAGTGCACTGCTGCAGCCTGCAGGTAAGCGCTAACCTATAACCATTTACGACGTCTTCGTATCGCGATGTACGCATAATATACATATATGATGCACGCACGACGCAGAGAAGTTCTTCTCGACATCACGGATGCACACTATAATAATAACCATGATATATACCTGCCTGCCTATACACACGTTATATATACCGTTGTCGGAGCCTGCGATGGCCGTACAAATCTATATTTTAATAGGATTCAGTGGATTCACAGATTAATATGTATGATCCATGCGATACCAGTTTTCAAACACGGTTATACGATATTGTCGTCTCGGACTTTTGCTAAGAGTGTTTATGGTACCTATATATAATAATATGTGCCTTATTTTATGTATACGCGACGATAAATTCCGTTTGTTGGCGTTATTGAAATATAAATAATATATGACGTTAATAAAAAATATGGATTTTAATAGGTACAAAAATTGCATTTTCCAGAAAAAAAAACCGTTGATTTGGTATATTATATTGTAGATAATAGTATAAAAATAACGATGATATTATATAAGCTGCGTGTCTACCATACGGCTTAATCTACGATCGACCATATTAATATTTATGTGTCTCAAGAGTGTAAATCATTATATTATCCGTTAATGTTTGATTTTAAATACTTTATAATATTATTGATATAAAATCAGTATTTTTCTCTATAGGTACAACATTTACAATCTCCGACGGAAGTGGAATATTAAAAATATCAACGATTTTTACATAGACGTATAAATGATAAATATATTATACATAATAATGTTTTGGATCACTGACTTAAAAATTGAAGCATTACTCAAATTGAAACCCGGGTTGTATGTAAATATAAAATTTAGGACGTTTTATAGTATTACATAAGAAAACCCATCATACTTAACAACTCTTTTATTTCATCTTTATTGGTATTCTTTAAATGATCTATCATTTATCAATCTTATAATTAAGTTAACTGTACATGAAATATTTTAATTAAAATACAGTTTAATTTTATTATAATTTGATTATATACAGTATACACGTATTTCCTGGTAATCAGTAATAGTTTTGGCGGTAAAATATAATAATATCAAGTATCTATAATATTATATTGCGCATGTGCGTATTTATTAATATGTTATGATTGTCAAATTGTAAGTTGTTTGCACTACATTTTTTTTTTCGTTAATTTGAATTCGTGAAAAAGTACTTATTGACGTGTCCTTTACGCAACACCGAAATCCTAAAATTTACGGGAAATATTTTCACATTGATACATTTAAAACCAATATTTATAATATAATCTTTAACACATTACGTATTATCAAAGGGCTTATAAAAATAGTAGGTATTATAATAAACATTTGTAAATGAAATAATATAATACATATTATTTAATATTGTACTCGTACGTGTCATGTGAATGTAGGTTTACAATATACTATGTGATGTTTTTCGATTTCCATTCGTAGAATATTATTAATTGTTTTAAACATTACACAAAATTTGTATTAATGGTTCAAAAATTCAGCTGAATTGGATTTTTTTACTAATATGGACTCGTTTTGATGACCTGAAATTAAACCACGGTATTGTATTCTTTAGTCGATTTCACTGGAAATAGAACAACACTACAAATTATAGACACCGAGGAAAAACGTCATGGACTGTAATATTATATATTATTATATGTATATAAGTATTGTATTTCTAGCGTAGGCAGTAGGTGAATTAAATGCTAACACACTTAACATGTGCAGTTACACATCAATCAATATATGCAGTTAGTGTAAAATTTGTTTTTAACTTTTTCCTATTTATTATTTTATAATAGCAAGTGCTATATTATTATCACGACATCACGTATAAATCCCATGAAAACACGTTAAGACAGAATAAACATGACAATATTATTGACAGGTGTTATGATCATAATAAAGTGTATGTATTAATACAAAGATGTTGTTTTTATTGAAAAATTTGTTTTCAGTTAAAAATAAATTTTATTGGAAAACAATTCATAGTTTTCAATAATTATTTTCTGCTATTAGGAAATATATTATTTCCAATAAAATATGAAAATATATCTGTTGCGATGCAAATAATAAATGTGTATATAAATACATACCGATTATTTAATTTTTAATACTTACAAACAATTTATGTAATTTTAATTGCATTATACATTTTTTTACTAAGACGAAATATATTATTAATAAATAATAGAAAATAAATTAACATATTATATTGGGCACATGCGTAAATTCCATCAATTGTGACCTTTATAGACCTTTTTCATGTAAATTCCACCAATTTGTTTTTTCAGCTAAAAAAAAATGTTGATTCTACCGAAATTAGAAACATCTTCAGAGTCTAAAAATACTAATGTAAAGCAAATTCTAAGTAAATCATCTACTTCAGTTTTTGTTTTATACTCTTCCGTAACCAAATATTTCGATTGCTCACCACCAACTTTGTGTAATATGAAACCTACAACCCATCATTTTCAAATTTAGCCAAATTAAGATTGACGTGTTTTCAGGCCAAAATACATACCGGTGGATTTTGTATTTTTTTTCCATTAGAATAAAAAAAGTATCGGTGGAATTTACATGTTTTAAATTCAACCCAAAAATCGACTACCTGTAAATCGGTGGAATTTACAATCGCCCATTTTATTTTATATAAAAAATAATTTAAATAAATTATTTTTTTTAAATAAAATTCACCTTTTTTCTTTAGGTTCATCAAATTAATTGTGGAAGTTTGACAATTTAATTTCATAAATAATTTAAAAAAATAATTTCAAGATTACTAGTAAGAAATACATTTGATGGGTTATATTCGTATAGATCCTATGGTTTCCCCTGTTTATGATATATCTATAATGGCTATATTATTTACTTAAGTATTATCAATTTAATAGAGATTTAAATTAAACAAAAAA